CTCAGGGCCCAAGGGCACGCCGCGGCTGAGTACGGCGAGGAGGCTCCGATTGTGCAGGATCGTGTGCCACCCCCCGTGCTCCGATCTGCGCCACAGCTCGGCGGAGAGCTGCGGGCTGATAGGAGCGCGGACAACGCCCCCCCAGCCGAGAGACGCGTCCGTACCGAACACCTCGGGGCAAGGCTGCGCCCGAAGGTCGGTTATAGCCGTAAAGGCTAAAAAGGTGCAGGCCAAAAGCTCGTCGCGAACATAAGGAGGCAAGTCGTATTCAATGCCCTCCTCGGTCGCCAGGCGCGACAGGAAGTTGTAGACGTGCGTGAAAATGGCGAGCATCGGACGGCGATAGAGGAACACCTGGACCCAGCAGCCCACAAGAGAGGCTAACAGGGAGCGTGTGGTGATGCCGAGGTAGATTTGGATCAGGGTCAGCCTGCACAAGGCCACCGTCCGCACTAAGGGAGCGCAGACGATGCCTATGCGCCCTTCCACCTCGGCGCCCACCACCACCTTGTGCGTTTCGCCGCGCGCGCGCTTGCCTGGATGCTGAATCAGGCCCACGCGCGGGTAGCCTGCATCGCAGGCGGCGAAGACCTCACGATCACGACGACAGGGGTCGTCGGGGCGAGGAGCGGAGCCATGCCACGAGAGCTTCTGAAAACCTGTATGGTCATCAATATTCAGCATCTCGACAAACGGTCCCCGCGGGAAGGGCGAGCGGTGGACAACCTGCTCGTGAGGCCGCAAGGCCCCGAAGCTGTGCAAGACGCCTTCATGTGCAGAGTTGGCAATCTCCACCGCCATGTTGTCGCCCATCGCTAGAGCATTGAGGCAAGGCGCGACGTCCACACCTTCGAGCTCGGGGCGCCAGGCTCGAAAGGCCTTGAAGCGGGATGATGGCAGACGAACGCGAAGGGCGTTACGCCTGGCGCGCGCGGGAGGAACGCGGAAAGTGTAGTAAAACTCCCGTAGGTCGTCGCAAGAAACTGCCAGCCACTCCCCAGGCGCCAGACCCAAACGGCACAGCAGGAAACCCTGGCCAAGGCGCTGGGTGCTGGACGAGATTGAGGCACAGCGGCTGTTCACGACCGTTGGGTTCAGGATCAGCCTGTCGAAGTCGCTGTCCTTCGGTACCCTGAAAGCTCCGCAGGCTTCATCCCAGGCGAGGTCCGAAGCAGGAGTCAGGTACAGGGCGCCGCAGGCATCCCACTTCTGGAGCAGGGCCCACAGCTCGGCGCGGTCCATATGGACACGCGCCCCCTTTTGGCCAGCAGGCCACTCTGACGCCGGGAGCCGCATCTCCTCTGGATTGATGAACGCTTCGCGGACTCGAGCGTCAGAGAGAAATGGAATGGGATCAAACACTGGCGAGTAATCCCACTTAATGCGAGACGCCCTGACTTTAAAATCGAAGGGCTCGACCTGGGTGGAGTCCCAAGCCGCCGCAGACGCCAGCGAACCAGGCACGGAAGGAGCGCTGGTCGGGCAGTGCCGCATGGGGGCGGGCACGGAAGAAGAGGAGGTGAAGGAGGCCTCCAAAGCTGCAACATGGGTGGCCAGGCCATGGAGCGAGACCTCAGTAGAGTCGAACTTGGCGAAGGCTCGACCTAAGTCGCTCTTGCCACCACGGGCAAGGCGAACTGCGATCCGACACAACCGTTCGATACGGGTGCGGACGCCCTCCTGGCAGGGCGAGACCGTGGCGCGGACACGAGCCTCGGCGGGAGCGAGGCTAGGATGACCCAAAGTGAGCCAGTTCAACGCAATAACAGAATACTGCGCGAGCGTCCGCGCCGCGCGCCGCAATCTCCAGCGCTCCCTGCGCCTCGCCGACAAGCCGTCAGGCGGGGGACCAAGAGGTGGAGCAGGCGGGCACGGCCAAGGATCGCGGGGAGGCGGCCCCAAAAGGCACGGGTCGCCCCTGTCCATTGCACGCATTGATGAGCGGGAGAAAGATCCAAGAGAACATCGAGCACCCATCCCAACCTGGGACAGCGCTGCCGCCCAGTGGGTGATATCAATGTTCGCGCCTGGAAACAGGCGCAGCAAGGCAGACAAGTCAGCGACAAATGGCGCGACGTTGGCAAGAGCAGCAGGGGTGCTTGAAGGAGAACAAGCACCAGCAAGAACACCAACCTCAGGGGCTGCAGGCCCCATGGGGGGAGCGCTCGACTGAGGCAGGTGACGGCCAAAATGGCCGAATGGATCCGAGGGGCGGTTCGGAGCAGAGCGAGGGGCGTGGTGGCGGAACGTACTCCTCCCTGCGGGGCCGCAACAGCATCGCTGGAGGAGCGCATTCCTACCCTCACGCCCTCGCTGCGCCCAAACACGCCTAGCAGCCGTAGCAGCGTCGGTGCAGACTGTCTGCGGCGGCGTACCCCGGCCACGCGAAGGCCCCCCCTCCAAGAAGGCGGGCGCCAAGGGCATCTTCAGTCCTTCTTGGGCACCGCCTTCGGGGCCTTGGGAGCACCCTGAGACTTGAAGGGGGGCTTTGAGACCTTGGGCTGCTTGGGCTGATGAGGTGGATGCTTGGGGAGCGCGACGGCGCGCTCGGCGTCGAGGCGCGCCCGAAATGCTTGCAGCTCCTTCATGTATTCGCCCTGCGCCGACAGCCAGCGAGGATCCACTAGGGGTGAAAACGGGGTCTGGGCCTCGCGCTCCGTGTGACGACTGGTCACGCGACACGGGGGAGGCTCCAGCCCCGTGAGGAACCAAGCGGCCTCGAGGTAGCCGCGGTCCCCCGCCAACTGGTCGATGAACATGCACTGGCAAGTCAGCAAGGTCTGGACCCTCTCGGGGTTGCCCTCCTCGCAGGCCCGCCACAGCTCGGCGCTGAGGAAGGCAAAATGCGTCAACAACTCGTGCGTCGACGGCTGAGCCCCGAGGGGGCTGTGCTCGCGAAAGTACTGATGCATGGCCATGGGGGTCACGGCGCTGACTTCCACGCCCAGAACGCGGGCCAAATTCTCCTTCATCAGTCCTCGCACGTCGGGGCCGTGCTGCATCAGCGCTTGCTGCCACTCGCGCCTCCGAGCGATTCCCCCCATCTGAGCCGATGCGTGCGCGGGGTCGCCCGAGGTCGCGGGCGGAGTTTGAGCTTGGTCGCTCAGGGTCCCCAGAAGCGGGTGGAAGGCTGGGCGATGGCCCCGCCCCTGCTGCAAGGAAAGGGACTGGTGCAGGCACTGAAGCATGAGGCTGAAGTCCGTCGGATTGGCCGCAAGGGGCGGCTCTAACCCGTCGGCGCCGCCCGCCTCGGCAAAGCCGTCGACCGCAGCGGGATGGGCTAGCCCAGGCGGCGGCGGGGGGCCCATCGGTCCGGAAGCGGACGAAGGGGCCCGAGGGACAGCAAGAGAGCGCGCCTTCTCCCACGCCGAGACCAGCGCGGAGGTGGGTCCCTTGGGGCGCGCGGAGACCCGATGTGGGGCCACGGGCGCGTGGGACAAGACGGCCTCGATCCCCGCAGGATCCAGCCCGAGGCGCGCCGCCTCGTCGCTGAAAAGCTGAGGCACCTCGGGCCGAGCGCTCCGGGCAGCCGGAGCGGGGCCCAGCGGTTCGGGTCCGCCGACCATCGTGGAGGCCGCGTGGGCTGCAAGCAAGGCGCGCATTTCGGCAGCTACCTCGGCGCGGGTCATGGGAGCCCCGTCGTCCAGAGACGCCGCAGGAGCACCAGGAGCAATCGGAGCAGGACCCGCGACCCGTGGCGGCGCGGCGGCGCCAGCGCGCTTGGCGGGCGGGCCGCGCGGCGCTCCAGCGACCGCGGGGGCTCGCGCACTTGGGGCCGCGCGGTCGGCTTCCCCGTCGGCCGCGAACCCCTCGGGCTCCTCCATCTCGTCGGCAGAGTGGTAGGGGGTAGCCCGATCGGCCCCTGGGAGAGGCTCTTCCCCTGCGGTAGGCGGGGCGCCGTGCAAACGAGCGTAGCCCTCGCGAAGCACCCGAACCCCCGAAGGATGCGGCCAATAGACGCGGCTGCGCACCTCGGCGAAGGGAACGATGCCTGCGTCGTCGCCGACCTCTAGAGGGTACAGCGACTCGAGCTCGAGCTCGGCAACCTCGATATCTATAACGAGGACGGATGCGGTAGTGGCGAGCGGCCGTGAAGCGGCCCCCTGGAGCTGGACGTCCACTAGCTGGAAGGGGCCTATCATCCCAGCAAAGCCATCCGCCTCGGCAGCCTCGAGCTCCGCTGTAGAGCGAAAGGCACCAGGCAGGGCCAGCAGGATGCCCCCTTCTCGAGAGGCGAGGGGGATAGCCGCCCAGCTGGTGTCGCCGTCGTCTAGGCGCCATCGTGCGTAGTCGCGCGCCGTGGGCGCAGCGAAAGGGTAGAGCTCGGGCCAAAGGGGCCCTCCGCCAACTGGTGGCAGCTCCGCCATCAGTGGGCGCCGCCGTGGACGCCGCCGCCCGCACGCTGGGCGTCTGCCCGCTCGAGCGCTTGAGGTCGAGGCGGAGCCCCGTAGGCCAGCGCTCGCGCCGCACGGCGGTCCTGCTCAGGTGAAGCAGAAACCGCGCCGCGCGGCCAGGCGGAGGGCCAGAGCCTCCGCCACACGTACGGGCCCAGCAGCCCGAGGCAGCAGCCCGCGCAGGCGCTGCAGGCGGCCGTCACCCAGAGGAGGGCGGCGACCGTGCTGAGCAGCCAGGGAGAGACCCCGCCGCTCAGGTCCACCGCCAGCCCGAGGCAGACGGTGGGGCAGGTGGAACCCGCCGAAGGGAGAGGGCAGGAGGCCCCCTCACCCTCGGACGAGTCCGCCTGCTGGATGGACCAGGCAGGCGATGGAGGCCCCTGGTCCTGAAGCACAGAGAGGGGGGCAGCCACGAGCCGCTCGTAGAGCGCGGCCCGCAGCCCCCTGAACAAAATCTCCCCAGCGCCCTGGAGAGCCGCTTGTGCGACCGCCTGCATAAGGCGCCCGCACGCGCGGCCGACGGGGGGCACTTGGGCAGAGAAGCTGCGGAGACAGCAGGAGCTTGCTCACAGAGAATAGAAGAGGCATCACCAAGCTCAGCTGCACCCCATTGGGGTCGGGGTGCTCCCGTGAGTCCCAACAGAACGAGATGGTGATGATGGGCGCCACATGGTCCTTTCCTCCCCGACCGCCGGCGTCCCAGACGGCCAAGAGCTCGTCCGCGGACACGAAGGCCTCCTCCGGAAGCTCCTGGCGCCTCTTCAGGACCGTACCGCGCTGTTGCAGCAGCCACGACATGCGGACCAAGCGCACGGGGTGGAGGCCCTCCACGGTGAATGCGAGCGCGTCAAAGAGGCTTGCGGCATCCCTATACCGCGTGAGGTTAAACGACTCCTGCTCCTCCTTCTTGGGGACCTCCTGGCGGGAGGCCATGCAGCACCCCATCGTGTCGGGGGGGGGTGCTCGCGCCTGCTTCCAGACCTGCGTCCAGCAGTGGAAGCTTGAGCCCAAATGGCTTCGGACCAGAGGTACGAAAACAAGTGAAAGACACAGCCCTGGAATCTCCCCTCGAAGCTCCGACTTTCTCCAGACCGAGGCCAACTGGCCCACCTGGCGCTGGGCGGCTCTTCCTTCTCATATGCCCGCCTCTTCCACGTCCTCGACCCCCCCCCCTGCCAAGGCGGGGTGGGCCAGAACCTGGCGGAGCGACACGCCGTCCAGAAGCTCCCGACCGCATCGGCGTCCATCTGAGACGAAGCCAGGACGAGGATACATATTGGGCTGGATAAACTGCGCATCTCTGACATCTGGCGGCTCTGGCACGTGTAATTAACGGGCGCCGCGGCTGTTCCAGAGCGTTTTGCAACGCTCTGGAACGATTCGTCCTCCGACCATCCTCGATTCTGGGCGGCCGGAAGGGGTGCAGAAAGCATGGGCACAGAAGAGGTCCCGACCGTAGGCAAGTCCGGACGCCTCGCCGCTGCTGGACGAGCGAACCCCCCGGCCGCGCCGGCAAGGGGCCCCGGGCCTCGGCTCTCGCCCTCCTGCAGAGGTCGATGGCTCAGTGGAAGCCTCCTGGATGGGGTCGGAGGATCGCGATGCATCGGCAATGCCTCGGCGACGTCTGCGTGGACGAAATCGGGTTCCACATCGAACCGCATCGCCGATGTATCGCTGAGGCGGCGCGATCCTCCGACACCATCCACTCTGATCCCACCTTGGAGGCCTGGATTCGAGGATGGGGCCCTGAGGGATGGGGCCTCGGGACAGGAAGGGATCCAAGGTTGGCCTTGCATGGTTTGAGACATCCCATCCTTGGGGCATCATCCCTCGGGGCCCCATCTTCGAAGCACAGCATAGGGGCCTCGCCCAGAGGGAGGCCCAGCCCCGGCGGGCGGCGGCGGATCTTTCCCCTCGGGCGCGGTGCCCGAGGAGGCGCCCGAGGATGCGTCCCGAGACGGCCCGAGGAGGCGCCCCGAGGCGCTCAAGATGGCGCCAAGGTGGCCCAAGAGACCCCCACAAAAAAAACCCAAGGCCCGCCCAGACAGCCCAAGGAAGCTCCCAAGAGGACCTTACATGACCCCCTCCCCGGGAGGGAAACACGACGGCGCGGAAACAGAAGGAAACAGCTGCAGCCTGCACGGAGAGGGTCAGAGGAGGGAGGGGCGGACTGAGGGGAGGAGGGGGGGAAGCGAAGCAGGAGGCGGAGGGAGTAACTAGGAAGGCAAGGAGAAGTGCAGCGCCCGGGAGGGGGAGGAGGAGGAAGAGGAGAAAGAGGAAGAGGAGGATGAGGAGGAGGAGGAGGAGGAGGATTCAGCGAGAAGGGGAGATGTGAGGAAGAAATGCCCTAGCTGCAATCTTTGACATGTGGTTGCGGGGGAGCTTGGTGTCGGGAGCACCACATGTGGCAACGTGGAGGAGGAGAAGGAGGAGGAGGCGCAACGCGGCGCGCCCCTCGGGAAGCCCCTGGCCCCCCGAAGGCTGCCTGGAGCTTTCCGCGGAGACGTCCGAGGGGCTCCCCCGTCCTGCTCGACCTCCTCCTCGTCCTCCTCCCTGTTTTCCTCCTCCTCCTCCTCCTCCTCCTCCTCCTCCTCCTGGCTCCTCCTCCTCCTCCTCCTGCTCATCCTCCTCCTCCTCCTCCTGGCTCCTCCTCGACCTCCTCCTCCTCCTTCTCCTCCTTCTCCTCCTTTTCCTCCTCCTCGACCTCCTCCTCCTCCTCCTCGACCTCCTCCTCCTCCTCCTCCTCCTCCTCATCCTCCTCTTCCTCCTCCTCCTCCTCCTCCTCCTGGCTCCTGGCTTCTCCTCATCCTCCTCCTGGCTCCTGGTTCCTGGTGGCTCGCGGGCTCGTCGAACGCGGCCATCCCTCCCCCCCCAGGCACGGTCGCTCCCCCCGGGGGGGGGGGATTAGTGTGGCTATAGCTGCAGGGTAATATGAAGGATGCGCGGCCGACAGTCTCCTGGGGGGCGGGGTATCTGGGGGGGGAAGGAGGAATGGGAGGGACACACACACACACACTCACACACACACAAACACATACACACACACACACACACACACACGAGATAAATCCTCCTCCTTCTCCCTCTCCTCCTCCTCCTTCTCCTCCCCCTCCTCCTCCTCCCCCTTCTCCTCCTGTCTTTTTCGTGTCTGATTCCTCGTCCTTCCCGCCCTCCTCGTGCTCCTCGTCCTCGTCCCCCGTCGGCGTCCGCCGCCTCGCCTCCCTGAGCTCCGCGTCCTCACCGCGCGCGGCCGGGCTGCCGACCCTCTAGGGGACCTCCCGTGTTTGCCGCCCTGCGGGTGCCGTGAGACCTCCGGGCCTGTGGAGGGAAGGGAGACCCAACCTCCGCGGAGGCCCAGGGATGCAGGCCTCGCTCCCCGAGCTGCTCCGAGCTGCTCCGGCGACGGCTGCCAGCCTGGCTGCAGGCCCCTCCGACGGGCAGCGGGCGCTCGCGGCAGTCCCTCGACTGCACGTGGTGTGGTGCAGGGAGGGAGCTCTGGCTCACACCAGCGACGGAGGGCATGCTGCGGCCCTGACTGCTCCGAGCTCTTCCTGCCAAGAGCGATGGAGGAGCGCCGCCTCCGCCGACCCCCCCGAGCCGACCCCCCGACAGCCGCGCAGCCGACCCGCCGCCACCGGGGGCGCTAAAAACACCCCCTCCCAGCGCGGTGCGCCCCCGTGGCGAGGCAGCGATCCCCCCCGCCCTGCACCCTCTCGCAGCGCAGGGCAGCGGCCTCTGCCCAGAGCCCCCACGAGGCCAGCCAGAGATTGCCGATCGCAGCCCGACGCCCGCCCCCGCCAGAGGAGCTCCAGGGGTGGAGGCACTGCTCCTTGGCTAGTAGCAGCTAGCAGCGCGCTGCCCCGCAAGATGGCCGGCGCCCCCGCACCACAGAGCCCTGCAGCGGGCTTTTGGAGGGCGGGGTCGGCGGCCCGTGGACCCCTCCCGGTCCGTTGGCTCGGCGCTGGCCTTTCCAGGGAGCGGCTCGGAGTGGACGTGAGGCGGGGGCACGGCCTGAGGAGGGAGGGGGGCGATGCAGGATCGGTCAACATCGAATCGCAATGCGCGTCGGAGCGGGCCCCATCGGCACGGAGTCGAATTTCGACTCGGATCGGCTGCACCAGGAGGCACCACAGCGCCGCGCAAACATCGGGCCGCATCGGATTGCCAGAGAAACGGCATCGACTCGGATCGAAGTGGCCGAGAACGTTATCGAATCGGACGGGTCGGATCGAAAGGGGCCCTGCAACTGGGCACCCGAGAAAGTGGGGCCCGCAGCGGGACAGCCGTGCGGACTCCTTGGGCCGGCAGTCGGCCCCCCTCCCCTCACCCCCCAGCACCGCCCCGCAACACCGCGCCCCTCGGAGGCGACGACAGGGGCGAATAGTCCAGGGGGGAGCAGTACAGGTAAGTATCCAGGGGCGCCGACGATCTACGTCCTCGACGAGGCTCCCGGGCGAATGCGTGCAATGCCCGCCCCTGGACCTTTTCGCCCTCCTCGTCGCCGCCGAGCCCCGCTCGCTTCGAGCGCCCCGGACGGGGGGCCTCCGACGCCCTCTGCAGGAGCCCGCGCGGGCCTCCGACGGTCGATGCCTGCGCTTGCGGGCGGTCACCACCGCTCTGCCTCGCGGGGGCGGCGCGTCGACACTTTGCCTCGGAGAGGCGAGGCGTCGCCGAGCCGCGGGAGGGCCCCCCGACGGAGAGGCCTCGCGTTCCCGGGCAGGGACCTCCTGCCCCTCCCATCATCATCACCACCATCGTCCTCGTCAACCTCCACGGCCTCCCCGATCTCCTCGTCTTAGGGAAGCAAGCTCTATACACCGACGTTTGCCCAGCCCCTGCACTGACACTTGCACAGGAGATCGATTCCTATTGTATACGGGATCCTTGTGTATACATGTTTCGTTGTTTCCCGCATGCCCCAGTCGGCGACGAGCGGGCCCTCAGGGGTCCAATATCCACCCCCCCCTGGGCCAGACCGCCCCCTCTTTCGCCCCCTCCCTGAGGGTCGGGATTAGGCTGCTGGCGGGACGCGCTGAGACGGTGCCGTGGAACTCTGCAGGCCAGCTGGTCCGACAGAGGTACGTCATCGTCGGCCGTTCCAGAACGCGCTGAGAGCGCCCCGGCGACCCCTTCTCAGACCTCTGATGCCGTGAGTTCCTTGACAACTACGCAAGCTCTTGAACCTGCAACCCCAAGGTCCAAAAACGGCCCCCAAACGCAGAAAATTATGGATCAACTCAGTCTTGGATTTCCGTGATGCCGGAGGCCTGAGAACGCCCTCAGCGTTCCAAGACATCTCCCTTAACGTCGCCGCGTTGACGCGGCGGCGACCCCAGCGCAGGCGTTCAAGGCTGAACGCCGCCAGTGGCCGGGAATCGACCGGTACTGACCGATTTGCACTATCCGCGATCGTTCAAGGCTGAGCGATCCACACGGAATGCCGACGTCGTCACGGCACAAACCTGCCGTGACCTGCCGGGCGCTGCTCCGCTGGGCGGCCCGACGCTGCAGTCGCAGACCAGCAGGTTGCCGGCCGCCGGGTCCAGGCCGCAGCCGCTGGAGATCGCGCCCCCGAGATCGAGGTCCTGCCCGCCGCCTCCCACGACGACGACGTCGACGACGACGGCGGCGACCGTTTCCTTCCCAAGTGGCAGCGACGAGGGCAGCGGCGGCGTCGCCTCGTCGTCGTTGCCGTCGTCCTCAGGCCTCCGATGCCGTGATTCGTTTGTTCCAATGCGGGAGTCGAGCCGTTTTCTGCGAGATCGTCTGGAGGGAGAAGGAGGACATCTGATGCGACGGAACGAACACCCGAGAATAATCCAAAATGCGCATTTGCTCCTATGCGGAAATCACTCCTTTGGGGCCCTGTTTGGAATACCCTGCAGAACCTGCCTTGGAACAGGAACATACCGTAGAAGGATCTACCCCTTCTCCGATCTTGGGTACGAATCGGCCCTTGTCTTTTTCAATCCGAGCGTTCCGCTCCTGGCGTTCCCGCTGCAATGCTCGCCTCATTTGAAGGTTGGCGCTTTACTCCCGTCGTTCAAAATGGCGTTCTCGACCCAGCGGAGCCGCTCCTGTCCCGTCCCCATTCCTGTCCCGCGCAAAATGGTTTCTGGATCCCGGTGTCTCCGCATCGTTGTTGCCAGGCTCTGTTCCACCTCCCCAGCCTTCACCTGGTCATCCTGCTCCTCCCACTTCTCTCGCTTTGCTCCTGTTCCGGAGCATCTCGCATGTTTCTCCTCCTCCTCCTCCTCCTATTCTCCCTCCTGTTCATCCTCCTGCTCATCCGCCACCTCCTCCCCAAACGCACGCAATTTCCAGGTTGTCATTGCGCTGTAAAGCGCTGTAAAGCGCTGCGGTTGGGGCGCCAATTCCGGTACGACAACCGCTGGGGGATAGTGAGAAACAGCGCAATAGAAGAGATAGATGGCAAGAGTAAGATGTCAGAGATGGCGCGACCGTGCATAGCCTGTCCTCTCCCCGCTCCTCCTCCTCCTCCTCCTCCTCCTCCTCCTCCTCCTCCTCCTCCTCCTCCTCCTCCTCCTCCTCCCTCCCTCCTCATCCTCCTCCTCCTTCTTCTCCTCCTCCTCCCTCCCTCCTCTCCTCCTCCTCCTCCTCCTCCTCCTCCTCCTCTCCCTCCTCCCTCCCCCTCCTCCTCCTCCTTCTCCGCTCCCCCTTCCTCCTCCCTTCCTCCTCATTTTCCTTTTCTTCCTCCTCCTCCTCCTCCCTCCTCCTCCCTCCCTCTCTCCCTCCCTCCCTCCCTCCCTCCCTCTCTCCTCCTGCCCCTGTAAGAACAAAACAATTCGACAACACCGACGCCACCATCGCGAATGCCAGCTTGTGATTAACAAGGCAGTGGGAGGCATGTGATTGTTAAAAAGGTAACCCCCTGCTCGGGCGAATCGCGGGGGGGCGCCCGCCGAATCGAAACGCACGGCAGTGGCGCTGGTCATTAACGCCGACACAAGGCCGACAGCAGGAGGGCGACAGGCGCGACGCAGACGGCGCCGCTTCAGCGGAGGGGGGCAGCATAGCCTCCGATATAGCGGGGCGTTTGGGCCAAAATGACTACAGACAGGAAGAGAGTCGTCTCGGTTGGCGGGCGGTGCCGACATGGCTGCAAACAAGAAGCGGAAGCGAGGGGGGGAGCGGAAGAGGCAAGAGGGAAGGGTTCCTCCTTCACCTTTTCCCTCCCTCCCACCTCCACTACAACGTCCTGCGACGACGGCAACGCCGACGACGAAGAAAATGACGATGACGACGACGGCGACGGCCACGGCAACGACGGCGACAGCGACGCCGGACGACGACGCACTGTGGATGCTTGATTTGGGGGGCGCGGGGGCGCTGCGCATGCCCGCTGTAGTCGTCGACGGCGACGATGAAAACGACGACGCGAACGACGACGACGACGACAGCGACCACGACGACCACGACGACCACGACGGACGGCGGACGGCGGACGGCGAGGGCGACGACGATGACGCACTGCGGATGCCCTACGGGGGGGGGGGCTGCGCAAGCCCGCTGTAGTCGACGAAGACGACGACGACAACGAGGACGACGACGACGACGACGACGACGACGGCAGCGACGACGACGCACTGCGAATGCCGCATGGGGGGGGGCTGAGCAGGCCCGCTGTAGTCGACGACGACGAGGACGACGTCTGCGAGGGGGAAACGAATTCGCCTCGGATGTATATGAAAAGCGATCGTTGTGAGGCTGTCATGCAGGGGGGTACACGATCCCCTCGGCGGCGCCAGCGGCGACCCCCTGGCGCGCGTGATGAACAACAACATGTTTGGCGCCCCGCGGGGTCTATTCATCGGCGCCCGGGGGGGGGGCGGCATCATTTGTTCATCACAAGATGACACTAGGGGCCACGGAAAGCTTTCATGGTGTTGTGGTCCCCCTGTTTTGCGACGCCGCGCTCGAGACAGCTCCAGACGCCAGGTCGAGGAAACATCGTGGACTTTCTCGCTCCAGGTGGCCCGCTGGAACTGGTGGTGGTGGTGGTGCCGCGCCGAGGCATTTGGATATCGAACGGACATGGGCCGAGGAGTCCTCCTGGTGGGCGACGCAACAGAATACCGCCGTGGACACGCTTGGTATTTTTTAGCGTCCCAGAGGTCGTTCTTGGGCCCCGGGTTCGCGAACATGGGCGATTAAACCCACACACACACACACACTTTCGGTCGTGTGCAGCTGGGGCAGGAATCCACTCGAGCGCTCAACTAGCACGGTCATGCGAACTGGCGCCAGGAAACAAAGAAAATAAGCCAACAAAATGACGATGCTAAGACAGGCGGGAAATCGGCCCTCAAGTCAAGGCCGAGGATGGCAAATCAAAATGGAGAGAGAAAATGAGGAGCCAACATCGACAGCCGACAACCGAAAGAGGGGGAGAGGGAGACGGACAAGACACGAGAGACGGCAGACCGACAGCACACACACACACAAACGTGTTTGGTGTCGCGGCCACGCGCGCAGCGGCGCGGCGTAGGCATAGGCAATCAAGCGGGAGAACGCGCGAGACCTGACACACACGCACACACACACACACACACACGCACGCACGCACGCACGCACGCGCACACACACGCACACAACACACACACACACACTTGTTCACGCGCGCGGCAGCCCAGCGATGGCAATGCACACACACACACACATACACACTTCTTTGGCGTTGCGGCCACGCGCGTTGTGGCGCAGCGGAGTCTGAGCCGGGCAGCGAGGCAACGCAAGGGCCGGCCAGCTCACGCAGCGGGGGAATGCTGGAATCTTCCACAAGGGCATGCTCAACACACACTCAACCACACAACACACACACACACACAACACACACACACACACAACAACAACAACAACAACAACAACAACAACAACAACAACAAAACAAAACAACACATGTCGACTCTCAAACCTCAGTAGGGATCTTCGAACACTCGCTTGCACTCTGTTCCGCAGCGTGAAGCACACCGACCCTGGAGACGTGGCGGTGGTTCTCTGGGGGCTGGCGGCTCGAAAAGATCGGGCCGCCGAATGACTGAAAAGCAATGTCGGCCTCAGAACCCCCCCCCTTTCGGATTTCGGGCACGCGCTAACAAGGTGGATTAGGCGCGTGGGCGTCAGATCCTCAGATCGGGGAAAGTATCCCCCGAAACATGAGGGCAATGCCACTCGATTTGGCGGCGGATTAGCGTGGCCCGCCGCTAATCCACGCGTCTTCCGGGAAGGATTAGCGTGTCGCGGCGGCGGCCTCAGCGATACGCGATGCCCTGCAAGCGGATAGCGTGTCGCTCATCTCCGCGGGGCGGGAAGCTGAGAAACGCTTAAGACGTTGAAACCAGGCGACCGGGACGTGGTCAGCGTATCGCGCCGCATCGTGGGCCAGAACCGGCCAGCTGTGCAGCACGCGAAGCAAAAGTTCCCGAACGTAATGCGTGTTTACACTTCCTCGACCTTCCCTTTACCGCCCCGCCCCTGGGGCCCTCTGCATCTGCCCCCCCCCTCGCCAATTGCCTCCGCCGCGGCACGACCCCCCACCCCGCCCTCGCTCAACCCCCCTCCGCAGACCTCTGTCTGGGCGCGCGCTGCTCAGAGACCGTGAAGGTGCACCCATCGGGCCAACACAAGGGAGATGGCATACGCACGAGGAGGCGACAAAGGCTTTTCTGGCCACTGCAAGCCTTGGCCGGGAAGACGCTCCACGACCAACATCCGAGGGGGCGGCCGGAAGAAACAAGCGACCCCCCCCCGAGCACAGAGAGGAGCCCTTCCTGCAGCGCGATGACTGCAGGTTTGCCACGGCGCGCACTCTGCCCAGCCCTGGCACATCCTTCGTCGTCGTTGTCGCCATCGGCGTCGTTGCCGTCGTATTCGTCGTCGTCGTCGCCGTCGGTGTCTTCGGCGTCGTCGTCGTCGGCGGCGTCGAATAGGGCCCTCAGGCTTGCACGCCCGCGCCAGCGACGCCGCGTGCGCCGCGGCTGTGCACTTCCCCCCGCCCCTCCTTGTACAGGACCGCCGGCGGCACGTAGATGAAGGACGTCCTCGGGTGGCGACGTTCGAAGCCCACAGACAAAAATACAAGCAAGGCAAGGAAATAGCATTTAAGAAATCTGGACCACCTTCCCAGGAGTTCCATAAAACAAGCAGCATGGGCCAACTTCTGTTGTCAACGTTCGAGATGCGAGAGTGCTCAAGAAACTGGGCCGGCTTGCTGGCAGAGTGGTTCAGAGTCGAGGTGGCTCCTGGAACACATGCTCGACCGTACTGCCACCGACCATCGCTCCCCCTAAAACCATGGGGAGCGGGGGTGCCGGGCTCCGACTTCGACACGTGCTCGACGAATCCCGATCCCTCCCCCCGCCGCCAATCAAGCTGCCTGAATAGCTCCTCAGCGAGAACAAGGTTCGAATCTCGACGCCGCCAGGGCTGCGGGGCCCGTCGCGGCGGCGCGCGGCGCCCCCGCCCAAGCGACGAACAAAAAACCAAGACCCAGCGGGCTCTGCGCCGCAGCATGCGTGGGTCGTTAACGCGGCGCACCGCGCGAAAGGGCGGGCGCTCACGCGCGACACCCTACGCGGGAACTTTCTCGCGGAATGCCCGCGCGATCGACCCCCGCTGCCTTCCGGCGTTCTCGCCTGCCTGCTGCGCCACAGCAGCACAGGAGGAAGCGTGCGGAAAAAAACGCTTGCCTGCCACTCCGCTGGTCCTGCCATTCCGCCCTGCCGCCCCATTCTTTCCCTCTTTCACTCTCCCCCCATGCTGTGGAAGCCTACCCCTATCCCCTCCGCGAATTGGGTCACTGCCCTCTTCTCCAAGATTCACCCCTCTCAGACATCTTTCTGCCCCATCCACTCATGATCATTGCTCCTCTCTCCTCCCACCGCCTTCCTTACTGGTTGTTTCCTGCATCGATATTGCATGTTCTGACCTGTCCCTCCTCCTTCCCTCTCTCAAGGGGGCTTATGGATATCCCGACACCGTCCCCGCGGGGCATATGTTTCACTACTGGGCCCCAAGAGCCCAGAAAACTGTGGTAGAGAAGGGAGGGAAAATGGGGAACCCTTGCCTGAAAAAGACAACCGTGCACACCTCTCTGTCCGAAACCGCCGTGGCAGAGGGTGCACCGATTGCCTTGTGGCCGCTCGCCTGGACCGAAGGGCACAGCGACAGGCGTAAGCGTGATCTTGCGGCCGAAGGCGTGCCTGAAGCTTCACATGCTGTGCATGTTGCGTCCGAGCGCCAGGGCTCACAGCATGCACCAGAACGTGGGACACCAGGTCGTGTTGCCCGTCGATCGTGCTCAGCATTGCTACCTTGTTGAGTAAGCGAGCGGGCGGCGCGCCTGTGGGAAAGCTACCAAATGGTCGTGGCAAAAGTCTCACGCAGTGCAAGAGGCAGGCCGTGCGGCTTCCCTGTCCTTTGGGGAAGACATCGTGACGGGGCTTTCAGCCAACACGCGGCACAACAGCAACAGGTGCCAGCGGCATGCCGGAACGCCTGGTCCTGGAAGAGGATCGGAGTAGATAGTAGTGTTAGGTCGGGCCTGTCCCCACACAGGAGGATTTTCGAAGAGAAACAAAACAAATGCAAAAGAAATATTCATACATTCCTAAAATACGCAGGAACTCGTCACCGGAACATTTCGAGACTATTCTTGAATCTTTCCTCCTGTCGAGGGAACAGGCCCGACTTCGTAGTAGTGGGATCGCGCGCCCCTCGCAGCGCCAGCCGCGGAGCGCGCGGCCGCACGCCTGCGGGCGCCGGCACCCGGAGAGGCGCGCGGGCACCGCGGGAGGGGAGCGAAGGAGGGGGGGGGGGCCGCGGCCCCGGGGGGGGGCGCGAGGGGGGGGCGGCGGCGCGAGGGCTCGCGGGAGTCCCCGTGTCCACGAGGAAGCGGGCCTCGTGGGAGCGCTCGCCGCCGAGCTGGGCCTGGCGGCGGTGGGGGCGGGCAGAGGGCGGGGGGTGCCTGGCGGCGAGCGCCTGGCCCCGTGCGGGGTGCCTCGCCACCGCTCGGGCGTCCAACTGCCCGGGCACTGTTCGATGTCGTGCGTGTGCGTTTTGTTCGCAAAGTGCTTCAAGATGCTCCTCGATGGTTCTCGCCGAGAGGAAATTCGCACGTCCGAGCGATGGCAAGGTGACGCTTCATGCACGTGTCCTGCGCTGGTAGCCGCTTCCCTCGAGAGGAGGGGGCGACACAGAGAGACGAAGCATCACTGACACGGCAGCCTGCACAGCGCTTGCGCCGTCGAATCTTCTGCTCGACGCCCGCAACAGACGGGCCGAAAGAGAGGAACGGAAGGCAAGGATCGGCGGCGAGCGAGGGAGGAAAGAGAGAAGGAGAAGGCCTCCTCAGAAGGCTCGGAAGTCCCCCAGCATCAGTCGAAGTTGCCAAGATGTTCCCCGAAGGACAAGACAACTTCTGGGAAGGCCTTCCCCCTCTCATTTCCCCCCCGTCGCTCGCCGCCGAAAGGAGGGAGGCCGAAGCTGCGGAGAAGGATGGTCGGTCACGACGCAGCGCCTCCAACGGTCTCGAGGGCAGCGGCGTCGGCCGAGGGCCGCGAGCGGAGCGCGCTCGTCCGGCGCTGATCCGCGCACGCGCGGTCGCAAGCTGCGCCGAACAGTTCAGCAACCGAACAAGGCTGGAACGCGATAACGCATGAGAGGTCTTCGCCATAGCGAATAAACTATTAGTCACTGCGCCGACCTTGCGTGGATTTCTGTTAGGGCCAAGCCCCAAAACGGCGAGCGAAAAACGAAGTGGATTTCACATGGATGTTTTCTAGCCTTCACTCCTGGCCAAAAAAATCAGCACGAAGTTCACTTCCAAATTCGGGAAGAAATGTTCCAAGACAACCTGGGCCGATCCAATTGTTTTCCGAGCGAAATCCGCTCTGCGAAATTGGCGCCATGGAAGGTGGGAACGCGGTAACCCATGGGAGGTCTCCGTCAGAACGGTTGTAAAGGCTATTCGCCCCGATTCAGGGGGCCATTAAGCCAGATCAGGCCCGATGAAGCACGGGATCACACTGGATTAAGCAGGAGAAAGCCGGATCGGGCGGGATAAACCCACATTCGGTCAGTTTTCGACCAGGGATGTGGCAGTGCCGACTCAGAATGTCACCTCCCAGGAGTTGCATCCTGGGGAACGGTCACGGCTGGGGCGGCCTAGGCTGCGCTAGCGCGGGAAGCGGTCTTCTGAGAAGGCGGGGGGGGGGGATCCTTAGCAGGCATGGGCCCTTACGGGAGGGCCCAGGGGCTTCCGAGGCAGAGCTCTCAGTAGCCGGGGGGGGCGCCCAAGAGGCCCCGTGCCCCACCAGAAGAGCCGCCCCGCCCGCACAACCCTGTTGTGGGCGCCGTCAACTGCCGTGGAAGCCCGTTCACTCTTACAGTCGCTCCACTTGGACCTCTGGCAGTAGCAACGCCGCGTGGCCAGTCATGGGAGGACAGATGCATGTGCGATTCTGTCGGCAACGGGCCCCAGGAATGGTGGAACCAGCATTACCTGCCAGCATCACCCAATCGTGTGTCAGAGCGTTTTCCAAGCCATGATCCAAGCGCTCGGCGCAATCAGACTTTGCTTCGCCGCGCCCCCCGAAAAGGAAAGCAACAGGACCACTCGCTGTTTCACTCCTCACCGTGTCTGACCAGGATGGAACGAAAATGAATTGCGATCCGCAAATCAACGAATGCCTCTAGCGAAGGAGAACGTTCGGGGGGACTGGCCGACATCCTGGCTCCCTGAGACCCGTGTTCTTGAAGATCCGACCCCTGTCTAACTAGCCTCCCCCACCGACACCCTCGCTCTCGAGACCTCTGTTCCTGTGACCTCCCACGCTACAATTTCTCGTCCAAATCCGACGGCGTTCTAGACCCCCCCGCCAACATCCTGCCTCCCTGGGACATTTGTTCTTGGGACACTCCGCCCTCGCCGACATTCAGGCTCCCTGAAGCTCTTCGGACCCCCACCCTACAATTTCCCCCCCGGGCCCTAAAAAGCAGAACTCGAACTTATGTGTCGATCCCTCCGCCCACAGCGGACTCCCCGTACCGCCAACTGGCGCCAAAACTGTATCCAAAAAACCCACGCGACGCTTCTGACCACAACCCAGGGACAAAGGCGGCATCGGCCAGAAGCGGCATCGACATCCACCGCTCGACTCATCTGCTCCGGATGCGCGCTACCCCTCGTGACAATGCCGCCCTATCTTATCTGTCGGCGCGGACAAAATCCTCCGCAGAGGAAACAACGCAGAAAAGGACACAGATTGGCCCGGCGCCCCCGCAAGAGCCGCTGTGAGGCTGGCTCCCGCACATAGCCTTAAGCCGGGCCTGTCCCCCTACAGGCGGATTCTTAAGAAATTACCAAAGAATACCCCCGGAATGGTCAAACAATACTCAGAAAATCGTCCCCAGACTATTCTTTGACAATTTTTTGAATATTCCCCCTGTAGAAGAACAGGCCGCAAGCCCGACTTAACCCTACTCCTCACAATCGGAAGCGATGTCCTCCGTGGCTCCGGCACGCCGCCGCTGGCGCCGGCGCGCAACGACCGCCTCCGCGTCTCCCTCGTCCAGGCGCCGCCAAGATCGCGAACCTGGTCAGCACTGAGCACTTTCTCAGGGTGGAGGGCTCAGGGTGAAATCCATATGGGCCGTCGCACCTCGGTAATGAATCCGTCTTGGGCTTCACCCTGTGCAAATTCGAACTTCGAAAATAAATCGATACGGCATCTTTCACCCTCTGCCCTCCACCCGAAGAAAATGCTCGGCAGCACGCGCCCGGGCGCCCTGTTCCCCATTTCGGGTCCAGCCGTGGGCCCTGCCGCCTGGGCGCGGCCGAAGCCTGGCCCCAGGCACGCGCGCGGAGAGGTCCGCCGAGCTTGGCCCCCCCCGGCCTGGAGGGCACCCATATTCGGCACCGGCAATGCCCTGGATGCCGGTCGTCCACGATGCGGGTCTTCTGTGACTACCTTCCAGACCACCCCAACCCAACCCGAAGACCCGAATTTCGGGCTGGGGGGGGTACGGGCTTCATGTGTTTTTTTGTCCATGTTCCCCCACCCCCAGAACTGGAAATGGAGTGCAAATTGAAGCCTTCGGGTTGGGTTGGGGTGGTTTGGTGGGTGGTGGTTCTGGGCCCGTGGCACGCGCCTGCTGCCAGAATGCGGGCGCATCTCGTGCCACAGGCCTCGCACTTCAGGCGCGCCGCCAGGGCCTGGGCCGGGCGGCCCGGAGCGGTGGCCTCGGCAGCTCGGAGGGGTGTGCGAAGCTGCTGCGGCTCCTGTGCGGCCAGTTCCTCGGACACCGCTGCTGTCGACAACCGCGGGCCCAGCGCTGGTTTCGGCGCGCGCGGCGCTGAGGCCGTGACCGACGACCAGCTCAGACTCGGCGCCGCCCTCATGCTGCTCCTGCGGCCGGGCCTCCAAGCAATCGCAATCCTTGGTACCTTCATCGGTCAGGATCGCGTGGAGTTCCCTCGACCAGCGCGCGGCTTCCTGGGCGATGCCGTACACAGTTAGCGTGAGCTACTCAGCCTCCATGGGCATGCCGTGGCAAGCTGCCCCGTGCTTGGCCCACGAGTCGGCGGCCGCATTGCAGGCGCCTTCGCAGTGGTTTGTCCTCCCCACCTCGACGTCGGACGCGTAGCGTGGGCGAGGGTTTTCGTGCCCGTGAAGTCCCCGATCCCACAGGAACCCCTGAATGGCCCCCACAAATGGGCCCGCTCGTCGCCCAGGGTTCCCCTGGCCCGCGCCGGACACGGTCCTGGCGCAATCGACAAGGAGGTCGAGGTGCTCCACTGCCACGTGCGCGAGCGCGAAGATAGCGAAATCCTCGCCGTCGCGGCTGAGCTGCCTGGGGCACATTGCCAGCGGCGCAGGCCCATAAGCAGCAGCTTCAGGGACGCCCAGATGGTCGCACCGCTCCACTGCCCACCTGGCCCGGCTGATGCCTGGGAGGCGCCGAGCGGAAGCGGAGCCGTCCGTGAACAGCATGCCCTCGAGTCGACCCGAGCTGAGCCGGTTCCACCAACGGGTCTCGCACTCCTGGCAGCCGATGCCGCTCCAAAGGGGCTGGGAGTCAGAGGAAATCCCGCGTGCGAATCGCTCGGCAGCCAGGGCTCTGCACCCGCCAGGCCCTCGACACCGGGAATGGTGGATACAGCGGTCCGCCTGCGGCTAGCAATGGCGTCACAAATATACACCCTTTGGAAGATCGTGCCAACCTCTGCGCGGCAAGGCTTGCAGAAACCGCAGGCTGCGAGACCGTGGCGCCGGAGCCGCTCCTGGCACCAGTGCGTGTTGCCCACGAGGGCAAGGGGGGACGTCAGGGGGGGGACTGGCCCATGGTGCCTGAGGAGGAAACATCGACTTGGAATCGGCCATACATCGCCGACAGATCGGCGATATGCCCCCGATATTTCATCCGCACTCTCCTGGGCGGGACGGGCTATCGGCCCCCATCGGCGATCAATCGAAGGTTGAGGGTCGAAGCGTCCTTCCTGCGCCTATCTCCCCTAACGCTGGCCCTGGTTTTCGGGTCAGAAAGTTCTTCGGCGGCCGTTCGGGACTCCTTGGGCACCCCTGGAAGGCTCTCGGCGCGGCGCAGCCACTGGAAGGCACCCCGAGGCTGGAAGACCGTAGAGAACTCACGACAGCGCCCGCAAAACCTCAAACCTCGAACCTGCGATCTTCCGAACCTCCTTTCGGCGACTGACCCCAAAAAGGGGGGAACTCACCATCTCTTTCTCCCTCGCAACATCGCCTGTCGCTCCGCGGGCGGGCTGCCCGGCGCCTGGCCAGGCACCACCCAGAAGGGCCGCGTCTCGTTGCTCACCTCCAGCTCCTCCCAAACCTGGGGGGGTCCAAGAAGGAGGAGGAGGAGGAAGCGAGGGAGGGAGGGAGGAAGGGAGGGAGGAGAAGGAGGAGGAGGAGGAGGAGGACGAGGAGGAGGAGGAGGACGAGGAGGAGGAGGAGGAGGAGGAGGAGGAGGAGGAGGAGGAGGAGTATGAGGATGAGGATGGGGCAGACGCGGACTGCGGATCCCGTGGATCTGGCGCGCGGGCGCCTGATCCACGGGTCAAGGAAGGAAGGCACCCCGAGACAGAGAGTCCGTGCCGCCCAGCCTGGCGACGGAGCGCGCCGATCCTGAATGGGGGCCCTCCTCCGCCTCCTCCTCCTCCTCCTCCTGCTCCTCCTCCTCCTCCTCATCCCCGGCTTCCTCTAAATGCGCGCCGTTCTCTGGCCGCGCCGCATCCCCGGCCTCTCCAGCTTCGCGTCAACTCTGGCTTTGCTGGCGCGCGTGGGGTGCGCCGCGACGCCGCTCGAAGGCTCATGTTGAGCACAAGCCTGTTTCGTTCGGGCGCGGAAGCCCTCCTCCCACGCAAGTGGCCCGCTCCACCCCGCTCCTTCCCTCCCCGCCTCCCCGTCCGCCATGCCCTCCTTTCCCCACCCTGTCACCCCATGATTCCAGCCGTGCGTGCGTGTGTCCCAACAGGGCTGAACCTAAATGGTGTTTTTCGTGTTCGTGTTGTTTTCGTGTTCCTTCGCTTTTGTCTCGAACCCGTCTTTACCGCAAAACGAAGTCGAAACGAAAACGGCCCACGAAATCACCAAAAACACAGTTTAGGTCCAGCCCTGTGTCCCAAACTGGCGCATCGCTGCTCAAATTGCTTGCGTGCGGCGATCATTCCCCGATGCCGCCAACCTCTCTCGTGAGCCTATACGATTCCGTCCTGCCTGCCGTGCGCCAGGCCGCACAGCGCTCGACGACGGTGGGCAGGTCCTCGCGTGGAGGCCCCTGGAGGTCCCCGACGACCTCTAGAAGCCCAGTAAGCCAATGGGTTGTCGAACGTCCAAGTATCCACTCGTTCCTCCCAATTAAATCCCCCTCATCGTCACCGCCCCCCTTCTGCCCTTCAAGGGCATTCCTAGCCTTTGGTCGCCCCCGCTGTTGGGCCAAGGGCACATTAAGCGAGCTAGAGGCGAAGCCTCGACAGAGACGAACGGGTCGTCGAGATCTGTCCGATGGAGGAGGCGATGGGGTTCCACACCGATGAGAGCAGGGACATAGGACGATGATAATGAGGATGAGGATGAAGATGAGGGTGAGGACGATAAGGAGACGCCGACAATGTAAACATCGATCCTGGTCAGGCCCATTCTGGTCCAGGGTCAGTGAACACGCACTCCTGGACAATCCAGGAGGGCCGAACACCGAACCTGCGCACAGGATGGATCAAGCCGGGATCTGAGCGACAAGTTGGCGCCCTTGGAGACGAGGACTCCACATCGAGGCGGCAGGGGCCATGCCGCGAGCAGGAGGCCATCGTCGGCAGAGCCGAGAATCGATAGAAAATCCATCAAACCAATAAGATCGTTCATCCGCGCCGACGGGAAAAAGGACCCACGGACTTACCAAAATTCACCTCGCACAAGCGCGTTCCGTGTGGCCCACTGGTGCAGACCGACTGTGGGGGGTACGATGCGGTGCCTCCCTCCTTCCCTGGCCCGTTGCACCAGCGTGCCCTGCTTGTAGATGGTCTGGGGCACGTCTCCTGGCCCGGGCCGACACTGTCCCCGTTGTTCTACCACTCTGGCGTACCAGTCCCATCATGGCAACGATGTGTGGCCGCTGCTGCAATCGAGAGATGCATCGGATCTCAAATATGGCGCGGGTGCAGCAAGCTTACCTCATCGCTTCTCCTTTCCCCCTCCAAACATGAACCGAAGATGTTGCGACTGCCATGCGTATCACAATCGTCAACCCCAAGACCGCATCGGCGGATGGTTCTCTAAGTGGGGTCGCCGGAGCAGGGCAGACCTCAGCACCCAGCAGGACGGCAACCGGGAGACTGGCGGTCGGAAGAAAAAGGGGCAGGGAGGAACGGCCTGGAACGGGAGAGGTAACTGGGGTGAGAGGAAGAGTGACGGAGAGCAGGCATTTATCTTAACACACGTCAATGTGTGAATCTGTCCGACTACTGCGAGCGCCCGCGCGGATTGCCTCTGCCGTATAGCGACGTAAAAAGTGTCTAAATATGTACGTATATATATATATATATATATATATGTATGTATGCATGAGGGCCTCATCTTCTAGGATCGAAAGAGTTGTCATATCTTCCTCGGCGGAAGGCGGCGGAAACTCGGGGGGAAAAGTCGGTCCCCCAAGAGGTGTCACAACTGTTTCTCAACCCTCCTGAACAGAGCATTGCGGTCGCACCTCCTCCTTCTCCAGCCCCCTCCCCACCTACCTGCCTGCTACCTGACCTCCTACCTCGTCATCCCAGCAGGCTGCTCTCTGCAAAATAGTCGCCCCTTTCGAGGGCTGCTGTGGGGCCCAGCGGAATGACGCCCTACGTAGACGAATGCTCTCGGGTTCCTGGGGCGATGGCCACCTGCGCAACTTTCGCCCGCTTCGCGGGCTCCTTGGAGGTCTGCCGGAACGGATGGGCACGCAGATCCAGACGAGACCTCGCGGCCTCTCTGGCGGGGGCTGCCGACGGCGCAACTGCTGCCACTTTCGCGAGCTCCTGGGAGGTCCAGCGGAACGGAGGGACCTGCGGATCCATACGAGAGAGGTCGCGGCCCCCTGGAAGGCTGACAACTGCGCTGCTTTCGCCACTATCGTGAGCTCCTGGGAGGTCCAGCGGATAGCGGGGCTTCGCAGGCGTAAAGGAAATAGGTGCTTGACCGTCGTCGCCTGTCTTTCTCGTTTACCTCCCTGCCTGTTCGCTCCAGCGTGCAACGTGAAGCCATCCTGTGCAGCATTGAGAAGATAGCGCGTCCCCCGCCGCGTGTTCACATTGATGGTGCCACGTGATGCAGATGAGTTGGGTACGTCCTTGTGGAATCAATGTTTGTGTATGTGTTGCATACGTCCGCGCTGATGTCTGAATAGGTTCGGCATGCGTGGACGGGGAGCATGCTGGAAGTTGGCAGGGGTGCAACAGGAACCACATATCATATATAGTTTAGCTAGGATGGTAACAGTGTGGCGCACATGCACTTGCATGGTTACTGCATAACTGCATGTGCGATAAAACGGGGGGCATGGAATTTGACACGCTTTGACGGACGATGGTCCTCTAATGAGCTCGACATGCCCGCGCGCGGAGCACGATTGGTTTTGTTTGATAAAGGGCCATACGGACCGCGCTTGCTAGATCAACGTGTGTTCACCGCATTGTAATGCTTGGCGAAACTGCCAGGGGAGTCGATACACGCCTGGCTGAGACGCTATGACTGCATACTTAGAGTAAGCGGTCGTGCAAAAACACATCTGAAAACTGAACGCCCGAAGCCAAGACATGACACGGGTCGGTGTCTTCCTACAACGACCTCCGACATTGAATGTTTGCGTTCCAATGCGGGGATCCCTTCCCGGGGGCCGGCGTGCATCCGATATTGTTCCCTGAAGGCCCAGAGAACATGTGCGCCGAAAACTCAAAAAAATCTGCATTATCATTATTTCAAGACGTAGGGTGTCTGAATTTTGGGCCTCTGAGTCGATCACGAAACCCGTCCTCGGGTGCGTTTTGGCCAGAACCGCGAAGGTGCATTTCGAGAGAGCCCCACAAGGCCCACGAAAGGTCTAAGAGGTCTAAGAGCACTTCGAGAATCTAATCCCGATCCCCGCATCTCGACTCTTGACGCCAAGTCGAATAAGTACGCGTCGAGTTCGCGTCGGATAGAAGAAACAACAACATCTTACAGGACAGACAACGCCCCTCGAAGATGCAACGTGACGAGCGGGTGCTCTCGGCGACAACGACGTTCGCCGCCCAGGGGGAGGACGAGGAAGTTCTGGAAGCGAAGGCTCCAGGAGGAGCGGGAGGGGTGCTGCGGCCGCTCTGGCGGGCTGCAGCTGGGATCCTCGCAGGTCTCTCCTCAGCTCCTCACATTCTTCATCCCTGCCGACGCCTGCCAGGCGCCCTGGAGCGGGGACAAGGGCGGTGCGGACTGGGGTGGGAGTTGAGCTCCGCGTTCTCAATCGTCCTTGAGTGCTCTCCTTGTCCTCCCACACATCTGTGCTTCCGTGCCTGTGCGTGCCACAAGCGAAACCCAGAGCAATAGCAGGAGGAAAGTCGGTCGGGGACCAAGGGAACCGAACGAGCCCACTGTTCTCGCGGGGGGGGGAGGCATGGTGGCATCTGTATCCCGCCCCTCGGAGCGGACTGACCAAACCCCAGCCCGCGCCCAGACTGAAGCGAGGAGAATGCAGGAGGAAAGCAATACGCCGTCACTCAGCGGTCACAAGTGTTGGGCGTTGGGTATATTCTGTGTTGGTAAAGCAACCTCGCCCAAGTCGGACGCTATACAGTCAATCAGTATAGTAAGGATGCACGATAAGGATGCAAGGGCCTTGGACGCCCATTGTGAAGCTTTTTGAGCAGGGCGCGGCCAGCGAAAGTGGCCAAGGATGGACCAAGGAGGCAAGGATGCAAGGATACCCTTGAGAAGGTTGCCCATCCTTTATGTGCGGGTTGACTGTACAACCAATAACTGCTAGAGTCTGTGCAACGCAATCAAACTTGAGGAGCCGGGGGACGGAGCGTTGCCGCTATCCGTACTTCCGGGTCTGACCAGAGGTTCGCGGAGAATCCGGCCGCGGCGCCAAGGGATCTCCAGAAAGAGCAGCTGCAACATCACCGCCTCCTCCCTTGGGGAGCCACGCGGGCCCCGAGAATCTGACGTCTTGATGTTTTCAATACGGGGTGCCTTGACGAACCGACCCTCTCCGCGACCACATTTCCCTCCCGAGTCATTTTGTTTGCGGTCCCGGGGTCTGGCGAGGGCCCCCGGCGGGCGCGGACATCGAAAACGATGAACAGCCTCCGCCCTGATGTTGTCGATACGTTCGCGGCGCCTGGATATGCCAAGAGGTACCGATACCGCTGCTTCCAAGACCTCTTCCGGGGTGCGTTCTAACCAGCATTTCAAAGCGAATCCAGCGACGGCGACGAGGGCGAGGGCCTCCCAAGAGGCACCAGATGGGAGAAGCGAGGGAAGGGTCACGGTATCGGTACCTATTCCTCCAACAGTTTTCGGCCTGACCAAAGGAACGATCAATAAGGAACGAAGCCCCTCTTTTTCAAAGTAAGTATACGAAGTGCGAAGGAACACCAGGGGGGCTCGCCGTCCAAAAAGGTAACAGAACGCATGCAAAGCAAAGGAACGACCAAGCCCCTTTTGAAACGCAAGTGTTCCTTATTCAAGCCAGTCCTGGTAGGTGAGGGGCGGCAATAGGGGGGGACTGGCATAGGGGGGGTGCACGGACCTGGAGTCGGCGATACATCGCCGATAGATCGGCGATAGGGCCCCGATAGTGAGTCCGAACCTTCCTGGGCATTGGCGATCAATGGGCGATTGGGTGTCGATGTATCCCCCCTACGCCTATCCCCCCTATCGTTGCGCCGGGCCTGGGTAGGAGCGCCGGGGCAAAGCGGGCGTCCCGCGACCACGTACGAGCGGTCCCCGAGGCCCGGGGCCAGCGTGAACACGGCATGGCCGCCGGTGCGCATCATGTTGAGGGCGAGGCTGGGCGCCCGCAGCTGCGCGGCCTCCTCCTGAGGGCGGGCGCCCCCCCAAAGGAGAAGACAACGACGATGACGACGGCGACGACGATGATCTAGGATCTAGGTTTAAGTCGGGCGTGTCCCCTTACAGGGGGATTTTCGACAACAAATGAAAAATACTCAAAAAATACTCCACAATGGTCAGACAATACTCCAAAAATAGTCCCCAGACAATTTTTTAACCATTTTCGAATTTTCCCCCTGCACATGGACGAGCCCGACTGAAATCCAAAGAATAGGCGCTGCACCGTGAAAATACAGCAACTTGTTCGTAATGTTTGACGTCTGGAGGCCGTTTCCCGGCCCCAGGGCCGGACATGAAAAAGAACCAGGGTGAAAAGACGGCCCCGGGGGAGGTGGTCGAGATCCCTGGGGAGCGCTTCTGTGTTCTTCGGGGCCTCCGGAGGGGCCCTCCGCGGCCACCTTCACCCCTTCTCCCTCCCTTCCCTCCCTCCCCCGCCTCTGTCCTTATTCCCTCCCATGCATGCCTCTCTCCTGCTGGTTGCCGCCTCACTGTCCGCCCCCTCGCCCTCCTGCTCCACCTTCTCCTCCCTCCGTGGCCTCCCCTTGCCCACCCACGCCAGGAGGGCAGGTTGGGGGAGGAGGTTTAGGAGGGTTAACATGGTGTCCCGCCGACGGGCTGGGGCTGCTACACTTCAAGGAAAGGGCTCCCGACCCGCCTCGCACACCCTGCACACCGCGGCCGCCAGGCCCCGAGGGTCCCGATGCTCCCTGGGCGTCCCGCCTCGCGTCTTCGACGAAGGACGACTGCATACCGCGGCCGCCAGACCCCAAGAGGCCCCGTGCTCCCCGGATATCTAGCCTCGCGTTCCCAGGCCGGACTCACTCGAAGCAAAATCCACCGACCCCCGCTTGCCGGGGGCGGAGAGGCAAGTGAGGCATTTGGTTGTCCCCCTCCCCATTCCCCCCTCCCTGGGAGCCCCAAATCCAGTTTAAGAGGGGCGGGGGGCGGAGGGACCAGAGCTCGTCAACGCACCCCCAAGGCCGCGGGAGACTCCAAATCTACATTCCGTGGTCTCCACATGCACAAGATGCCATCTAAGCGTAAGAGGGTCCCAAGACGGCGCAAGAGGGCCCCAAAGACGGCCCAAGAAGCGTTCGAGGCAGCCCCAAAGGGCCCCAAGAGAGCCCCGAGTGGCCCACGAGGGGAAAAACTCGAAGTAAGATTTCGAGCAAGAGGGCCCTCGAGAACACCACGTGGCGCCCAAATTTAACTCCGAGAGACACCAAACCAAGAGGACGCCAAGAGGCTCCAGAAACGCTCGTACGAGCCGATGTCGTCAGCCCAGTGGTCCGAATGGCTTCCGCGATGTCACGAAACTCCTCCTCCTCCTCCTCCTCCTCCTCCTCCTCCTCCTCCTCCTCCGTCCCTCCTCTTCCTCCCCCTCCCCTCCTCCCTCCTCCCCCCTTCTCCTCCTCCTCCTCCTCCTCCTCCTCCTCCTCCTCCTCCTCCTCCTCCTCCTCCTCTCCTCCTCCTCCGCTTCTGGGGGTCGGCGGGAGGGCGTAGGCCTCTTGAGCACTTGTTGCTGTTTTTTTGTACAGGGCGGGCCTCCGACGGGGGTCCTCGTCGCCACAGCTGGAGACTCGCCCCGAGAATCCTGGTCGGGGGGGCAGCCCAGGACTCCAGGGCAGGTCCGGGGGGTCGTTCCTCGAAGGATGAGGGGGGGGGGGGGGGGGCACGGGAGGAGGTGCGAGGGAATGTCGCGGGGGGGGGAGGAGGAGGAGGAGGAGGAGGAGGAGGAGGAGGAGGAGGAGGAGGAGGAGGAGGAGGAGGAGGAGGAGGAGGAGGAGAGGAGGGAGGAGGAGGAGGAGGAGGAGGAGGAGGAGGAGGAGGAGGATGAGGGGGGGGGGGGAGGGGGAGGGTTATGGGGGAGGGGGGGAGGAAGGGGGGCGAGGCGCCGCGGCAATGCCGTCGCACACCTGGCAGCAGGATGCCACCACTCGCGCGCGACGGGGGCACTCGCTCCTGGGCGGGGGTGGGGCCCGGCAGAGGCCCCTCCTCGCACGGAGCGGCCCCTCATGCGGGGAATCCAAGGGCTCTGCTGGCGGAGGGCGTAGCCCGACTCTGCTGCCTCTGGTCGTCGGGTCGAGCAGTCCAGCACATCGAAGCATGTCGCCATGATGACGCCGCGACTCCGCCTCACAACACTACACTGTAAGAACGAAGACCGCCCGCAATGCCATACGGAAGGATCCAGATACAATGCGGAACCAGTACGTCCACCGAACTGGATCCATCATCCACTTCACTGCTGATAACCAAGAATACAACCATTGAAGATCGCTGCCGCAAAGATATGCTGTCAGAGACAGGCCCAACTTCCCACGGCGGGGCTCAATTCGTATCCGGCGGCACAGCCTGACCTTTATTTGAAATGAGGCCCTTCTCCCTTAGGAACGCCGACTGCATCGGCCGCGCATTGCTAAGAGCAGCCGCGTCCGTGGGAACCAGAATCTTCTCCACGCTACACACCGCCACATCGTGGTCCCCAGCGCTGACGACTTCCAGGAGGTTCAGACGAAGGTAGGCCAGGCAGCCTGGCAGCAGCGACTCTTCCACAAAGCCCTCCCGGTGCCAGCCAAACCCGAGGTCACGGCACCCCTCTGCCTTGTCCACCTCCCGCCCGCTCTGCCCGCCGAGGAGGTGCGTGAGCGGCGCATGCTCCTCGCTCAGGACCTGGAGAACGCCCGAGCGCTGCTGCATGAAGTTGCTGTGGCTCAGCGTCTTCCTGTAGACCGAGATGCACCACACACGCTGCGGCCGAATGCCCACGGGAGACGCGTACGTGAGAATATTCATGTTGGTCTGTCCATCCTGGCCGAGGGTGGCGAGGGAGTAGACCTGGGGGGGGAACAACACGTCACCGATGCCGATGCTCCGCAGATGTATCCCCAGGTGCGTCCGGACCAGGATTCGAAAGTGAATCGGGCTGCGGCGAAGAGGGACCCCCAGGATGACCACAAAAGGCGCAAACGAGGGAGAGGAATCGGCATCGGACGGTTCCGCTTGTGGCGCAACCCGTGGCGCAACTAATGGATCGCGTAACCTCATGGCGCAACTAGATATGGGTGGCGCCTCCCTCCCAGCAGCGTCTTCGGGGCTACACGCCCGATTCTTGTGCTCGCCGAACTGGGCTGGCGGGAAGGGCCCAGGCGGCGAGCTGCCTTGCGCTCCCTCTGAGGGAATGCGTCAGGGGGGGGGGGGGAACAACTCAGGGGGGGAACAGCGACCTGGATTCGACGATACATCGCTGATTGATCAGCGCTAGGCTCCGACAGCGAATCCGAACGCTCCCAGGGGTCGACGCAACCTCGTCCCTGAGCCCATCCCCCGTTGCCCTGGATTTCGGGTCACAGCTCGGCTCTCCGGAGGCCATTCGGAACGATTCGGGCACCCCCGGAAGGCTCTCGGCAAAGCGCAGCCACCGAATGTATCCCGAAGCCAGAAAACTGGCGAGAGACCCGACGAAAACCTCCGGTCTCGAATCTCGATTTGGAGGCGGCTGGGGGGTCTGCGAGTCGAAAACAAGCTGGTAAGCTTAGGTATGTGTTACGCTTTAAGCGTTGCCATATCCCAGGCTTTGGCTCATATCGCATGAGCAAGAGAGCAAGACGAAGCATGGGATCTGGAGTAAAGGATAGAAGAGGCATCTTCAATGGAAAAGGTATTTTCCGATCTCAGATACCAGTCGTGCGCCTCGGTGAGGCACAGTCATATATTTGGCCGGGCCCGGCTTGAGCCAGGCACGGCAGCGGTACATGCTCGATTTATACCTCGCCTTTAACCTTCTCCGTTTAAAGTCGGAGGGGGAGGAGACGAGCAGGTACCGCACTTCTACATTATGCGGAAAAACAGTGCTAAGCAGCAGCGGCTGCCTACAAGGAAAGGGCGCGCGAGTAGCCTCGCTACCGGCGAGTTTCCTCGCTACTAAAGCGCACCTGCCCGCGGGTTTCCCCGCTGGCTCGGGAGGCAGGGCCGTCCTGAGACGACCTGCCCGCCCTATACGGCGTATGTTTCTTCAGCTCGTGCTTGAAGGATTGCTGGCCGGCCATTACTTGTAGGAGCAACGCGCGGTCAATACTACCTTTGGTATGACCATCGGCAGTCATATCCCGCGTGTCACACCATTGGACGCTTTCCACGATTCCGCGTTCCATCATCTGGCGGATCCAGCTGATGTGCCCAAGCAGAGTACATTCTGTGGGCTTCTTCAGATCTTTGCTAGACAAAGACTTGAAGACAGACTCGGCATCAATAGTCAGAGTGACTTTGATACATAGACCACCCATTTCCAATATGTTCTTTAACTGTGTGGGGGTCAATGGTCCCGAGTGTAGCTCGTGGAGCGTTACAATGGTCGGGTAGCAGTCTTCCAAGTTGTGGGCTGCTGCCAGTGTTTCCGCAGAGTAGCTCGAACGCACCTGCAGTCGATGAGACTTGCAGTATGCGTCCACCAGGTGCACGACGGGTTTCCCCGCTTGCGTGTGGCCACGCCTCAGCAGGTTAGCCCCGCGGATACCATAGCCTTTGACTTCGTCGTCTTCATCTCCGTTGAGACGACGATAGCCAGAATCGCTATGCAGGTCGACTTCTCCTGTTGGGGTCATAGCTTGATACACGATCTTCTTCGGACCTGCCTGTAGCTTTCTGGTAACCGCGTTTAGTCGTCGTACCTGGATGTTTGTCGGTTCCTGGATACGTTGTAGTGAGACAACATAGACCATCAGCCATACCTGCGTGATCAACGCATAGGCTAGAGCGCCACGAAGACTGACGAACATATCAGAAATCGTCTTTGTCGCTTTGCTCTCAGGATCAGCTCCTGTGAGTTCTGGATGTGTGATAGGACGAAGCTGTTTGATGTATTCGTCCTGATCGAGAGTGACGCTCCCATCATCGGTCTTGTTGTACCGAACGGCACAGTTTGTGTATGTGTGCTTGTTCAGTTTGCACTTCCCAAACGTATCTTCAACACACTTGACATACTTGTCAATAGCCTCTTCCTTCCCAGTCATATTGATGTCATCAACGTGCTTGGCTGTCAAGAGGTTTGGGCTCATCTCGAACTCTTCGTCGTATGAAGTAGGCTGTAGCCCAAAGCTCCTAGTGATGGACCTGAGCTTCAGCGAGAATGCCCTGGGAGCATCCTTCGTGCCCGTCCCCGGTTTCAGACACCGGAGACAATGCTTTGATTCGTCATATGACTCAAAGCCTGGCAGTGTGCGAAGGACAGCTGCTGACCCAGGTGGTAGTGTGAAGCACACCACACGCTCTTTCTCGCCCGTTGCCGCGGCGAGCTCGCCATAGGTCAGTCCCTTCAAGAAAGCCATGTTGATGTCCAGGGAAGCGATGATCCAAGCTTTGTTGCATGCAGCAGAACTTGCGAGCAGTCTCTGGCTTGACCTCCTTGCCGTGCCAGAGAAGGTTTCGACATCAAAGGCTTCAAGGTCCATGAAGCCACGGAGTACCAAGCGTAACCTGATCGTCCTTTCCATTTCGCCCTTTTCGTTCTTGACAAACTTCCATTTGTATACGTAGCGTGACGTCATGATGTTAGACGCCTTGCTTAAGTCAGTCATCTGGAAGCATTTGTTGTCAAGCCAAGTCTTCAATTCTGTGTAGAGGGCTTTGGAAACTTTGACCGGATTTGCTTGGATGTCGGCCTTCGTGAGTAGATCGTCTTCCTTGACGACCACGGCACGTTTGGAGGCAGCGCTAACGTATACTCGCATAGTTGTGACGCTGCTGTCATCCAACAATCGGTGTTGCTGCTCGGACAGGACGACTTTGGACATGTCTGCAGTGAAGCAGAGCTCGATGTACTTCCCGTGCTCATCGGAGTCCAGATCATATTTGCTATCCGGATCCGTGGAGCATAAAGGAACGTAGTAAGAAGTGTCCATGTCGTATCCTGGCGGGTGACCCCGCTCCGGCAAGTGGCCTTGCACATCTTCACAGGTCGTAGAGACTAACACACACTGTGTGTCTGTCATGTATGTGGGAACTGTATGCATGACTTCCTCTGTGTCAGCTTCAAGGAGTGTTCTGTCATCCATCAGTTCAGCATACCACGACTTCAAGACAAAAGCATCCAGATCTTCTTCTGTTTCCTCTATGATGGTCGGGAGCCGACCATCGTTATCCGTAGGAGGCTCCTCAGGAGCAGCTGCTGGAGGTGATTCGCTTGGTGGTGGACCATCAGCGAGTTCCTCAAACTTAGTGAGGTCTTGGTCAAATCCAGCAGACGGCTTCCTGGATTTAAGACACTGGATGATGCGTGAGTGTGTAGATCCTGTGATGTCATAGATGTTCAAGGCAGTGCCATCAGCTTCATAGTAATGAAAACCAGGGGTCACATCATTATCATAGTGCACTAGTGTACAGCTGTCTGCATAGGGTGCAGCAGGCAACTTCGTCAGGCTCTTGGCAAGTCGTACAGCAACAACGTTTTCAATACGAAAGTAGTTGCGTATGAGGTACTGAAGAGCCAAGTGCACCTTAGGCGAAAGTCGGCTCGCAGCAGTCATCTGCAGCCGACCCTGTTTCGCTGGTAGATATCCGAAAGTCATGGCGGGTTTCCCCGCTGGCAGACCGGCAATAAAGGCCAATACTGTCCGAAGGGCCGTATTGTCCGATCCTATCTCGCGGACCATAAGTGCTTCGATGTACAGTGTGTGTCGTGTGTCAGGATACTGTACTCGCACTTCGCGACTGCCGACCTTCACGATGACCTGGCCTCGGTCAGGTTCGTTGCGGATGACCGGGTATGGACCACTCCATCCACCCCAGTCGTCTTTCGTGGTGGTCGGGCGATGATAGTCCACGAGATCTCCCTCTTTGTAGTGAAATTCACCCGTAGCAGTAGTCTTCGTACGGAGAGCCCTGTTCGTCTTGGCAACCGCAGTGGCCTGCGTGATTGCCTCCAGACTAACCCTCCTGATTGTTTCCTCCCTTGAGTGATCTGATGATTCAGCGGACTGATCATGATCCAAGACAGGGAAATCGGGAAGCATAGCTGGTTGTCTGCCATACAGCGCATTGTACGGAGACACTTCATTGTAGAAGGTAAATGCGTTGCTGGCAAACAAGGCTTCATGTAAGAGACGAGTGAAATTGAGAGGAATATTTAATCTATTCAATTCTTCTCCCATCACGTGTAAGAGGTGTCGCAGGATGCCGTTCCTAGCTTCGATAGTTGTAGCGTGTTGGCCACGCGCTCGAATACGAAGCTCTGTTCCCTTAGCCTTAAGGATGGCCTTTGCTGTATCATTATTCAGTGCTCCTTCCCCATCGGAGTATAAGATTTTAGCAGGGCCATGTTGCATCCAAGTCGTATGATAGGCATCGAGAACAGTATGCATGGCTTTATCAGGAATCTCTGTGCCAGCTGCCCAGCGAATACAACGGTCGATGATGTGAAAAACAATATGTTCCTGTTTGTAAAAGAAAAGATCACATTCGACTTCCTCGTTGAAACGTCCTGGCAGTGACACAGAAGGCATCACCGTGTTGCCTGGTTTGTCCCAGGCTCGACATTCTCTACACGAGTCACAAATGCCTTTGATCAGACTCAAACGGGTTTCACCCAGACCAACCTTGGTTAGAATCATCCGCATTTGTGGCTCCTTGGCATGAAACCATCTCAGGTGGAGTTTGCGGAGTTCTCGCTGCACTACAGCTGGGTCGAAGCTGCGCAGGTTTTGGAGGCTGAGCTGAACGTCGAAGCGAGTCCAATCAGGGAGCCTTGGCCTTGGCCTCGGCTCTGCTTGAGGCTGCGGCGGTGGTGGAGGATCTCCTCCCTCCATGCGTCCGCGCCTTGCTGCAACTTGTGGCAGTCTACGGTGATCGTCAGAGCTGCCAGCGCCACTGTTGCCACCATTAGCCCCGTCGGCTCTGGTGATGTCATGGCTGCTGGCGCCTGCGGTTGGATCGCCCTCACCAGGCCGTGGCGGCCTAGGCGCGCGTATGCGCGCTCTCGCGGCCGGCGCCGCTTTTGCGGCTGGCGCCGCTTCTGCGGCT